GCTAAATTAATCAATCAATAATCAATCCATCGAATGCATGATTAAATAAATTAATCGAATGAACGAATGAAGCAATCCATTGTATGCACAAATGAATAAATGAATCAAATGAATGAATCAATCAATCCATCAAATGAATGAATGAATGAATGAATGAATAAATCAACCGACTTATTGAATAAATAAATACAATAAATGAATTAATCAATTAATCTATATATCTATCAAATGCATGAACAAATCGATTGAATCAATCAATCAATCAATCAATCAATCAATCAATCCATCGGACGAAAATGAGATGAGATTCCAATTTTAGTAGCTTCTCAATTAAACAAAGAAACAAAATGTTATGTTAAATTTTAAATGACGATCTGTCAAAAACATTTGCCCCAACCTACATTCCCCCTTTCTCTTCTCAGATGGGATGGTGGGCAGAAACAAAGGTTACCAATTTTGGCCCGCAGGCCCTACCTTGACCACCTCTGTTCTAAATGAAGCAGCTGCTCAAATCTCTCAATAGAACAGGAACATGTTGTCATCTACTGGAGGTTTTAATGTCACAAATACTTATCTGAAGCTTAAACCAGCGAGAGAGAAGAGAGAGAGTTTTCTGTCAATATCACACACACACACACCCCATGCCCGGTTCTCCATGACCGCTGGAATGCTGGTCTGTCAGCAGCAACACAAGAGCACTGACTGTGATGAAGCTCACAGATTAAAACAGGAGGGAGTCTGAAATCACATCTGAGGGGGAATGAGCTGCTTTCCCCACACTGACACACACACACACACACACACACACACACACACACACACACACACACACACACACAGCATCTTCAGCATCATGATCTGATCTGACAGAGTCTGGGGCGCCAATGCTGCCTGCTGAGATATACACAAGTACACATGCACACACATACACACTTATGTTTTCACTATCTTTAAAAGGACATTTATTGACACAATATAATTCTCTAAGGGCCCTTTAAATGGGTGTCAGAAAGTGAGGAGTAGCTAAAATGTCTCTAGGTTTTTATTCAGGTCAGAGAATCAAACACCCACACAACCACACACACACACACCTAAGAATTACATTAAATTATATTCATTCCAAAGGGCAAAAAATGTTAATATTTCCATTATATTTCCCATAATGTTCCCATTAATTTCTTATAAATATTGAAAAATATAGATTTATTGAGTTATTACTTATTTAATCAAATTATTTCTTTGTAAATACTTTTTTTTTTCATTTCATAGATTTAAAATTTCACTTTGGTATAAATAGATCAACATTTTTTAATGTCACCTCATATTTCAGTTTCTCATCGAATCTTGACCAATGAAATGCTCTCTAGTTTCTGCCATGCCCCGCCCCCTTCAAGACGTTTCTCATTTGCTTTTCATTTGATGCGCTTGAGCTCCACCACTCTCACTGGCAGAGCTGTGATAAACCAAAATGCTGTTGGCTCTTTTTTTAAAGGGGAGGGGCTACTCTATGTCCCGCCCTCTCTTCATGTTTCAGTTGTGATTTTGACAAACATCGAATTAAAAAAATGCACATTTTAAAGCACTTCACTGGGTCTTTAAACTCATTTGTTTTGTAGACAATCAGAAACAATATTGCTTAAAGGTAATAGTATTGACCTTAAGATGTTTTTTAACATTTTAATTTATTCTAGCCGAAATAAAACAAATAAAACTTTTTCTCTGTATAACAGTTGTTAATAAACAAAATTCATTCATTCATTCATTCATTCATTCATTTTCTTGTCGGCTTAGTCCCTTTATTAATCCGGGGTCGCCACAGCGGAATGAACCGCCAACTTATCCAGCAAGTTTTTACACAGCGGATGCCCTTCCAGCCGCAACCCATCTCTGGGAAACATCCACACACACATTCACACACACACTCATACACTACGGACAATTTAGCCTACCCAATTCACCTGTACCGCATGTCTTTGGACTGTGGGGGAAACCGGAGCACCCGGAGGAAACCCATGCGAACGCAGGGAGAACATGCAAACTCCACACAGAAACACCAACTGAGCCGAGGCTCAAACCAGTAACCTTCTTGCTGTGAGGCGACCGCACTACCTACTGCGCCAGTTTGTTTGTCTCCCACCACAAGCATATTTCAAATCAATTCATCCATTTTCTTTTCGGCTTAGTCCCATTATTTCAAATCAATAATAAATAAAATAAATAAAGAAATATATTATCATTATTACATGTTTGCTGACCTGCTCGTATTTCTCCAGCTCAGTGTGGTAGATCTGGCGGATCTGTGAGAGTTTGGCTCTGTAGTCAGAGTGTTCGGCGGAGTTATCGGCTCCGACTCCTCCTGAAGCCGCAGCTGCAGCCGCTGCCGCCGCAGACCCGCCCCCTTTCTCCGGCCCGGACACGCCCTCCGCCAGCAGCATGTTGTCCAATCGCATCAGCTGAGCGTCGGGAGGCTCCTCCTCCTGAGCTCCACGGATACTCAACACTAAAACACAAAGCAAACAGAGGAAGATTACTGACACAGCTCCAACATCCCAGAATACACATGGCTTCATCCATCCACACACAATCTGCTCTGATGAATAGACTTTTAGCAGAAACCCTCCAAAAAAACTCGTTCCCGGCCATGGCTGCAGTTGACATTGCCAGGTTTTATGATGATATATAATACAACTTCATCTAATTCATATGATCTTCCCACTGAGCAGAGCTGCCGTGTGGCTGTAAATCTCACAGTGATCCCTGCGCTCTGAAGATCCCACACTAGAGGGACTCAGTGACTGAGTTTACACCAGATCTGTAGTGGTAAAACACACTTGCATACAAACACCTACACTTACACTACACACACATGCACACATACACACCCAAAGTTGACACACGTCCCCATGAGTTTGTGTGTATTCATGTTTAAGTCCCCACTGGTGTATAAAAACAAGTACACACACACCCACTATATACTTTTTCTTTTTTTTAAAAAAAGCACAACATTTTTTTATTTATAAATATCAATATTTATAAACAAATAAAAAAATGCAAAAATGTATAAAAATAGCACAAAACCATACTATTAATATATCATATTAAAAGAATTAATTGTTTAAAATATTATATTTACAATAATAAATAAATAAAACACTTTTATTTGACTATTTTATATAAAATATCAAATTAAAAAATACTAAATTGCTATTATTTTTTATTGCACGTTACATATATTTAGATTTATCATTATAATTATTAATCATCACAATAATTTATTACCAAGTGTTTTCATCATATTTATAAGCTTAACTGATTTCATACATGCAGAAAAGAGAAATTTCAATAAAACTAATAATGAAATATTAATAATGTCATTACTATAATGATATTCACAGAAAAATCTTTATAAAAACATACTTTTAAATTTCATACTACTATAATTGTAAATATTCTTCTTCTTTAAATTAGAAGAATAGGTCATAATAATAATAATAATAATAATAATAATAATAATAATAATAACAGTAATAATAATAAAAATAATAATAATAAAAAAGCAATGATAATAATGATGATAATAATAATAATAATAATAATAATATATAATTAAATATAAAGATTTTCAAATATTAATATTAAGAAAAAATCTTTAAAAATACTAATAATCTCATTATTATAATGATATTCACAGAAAAATCTTTATATAAACATTATAATTTTATATTATGATAATTGTAAATATTATTTTTCCTTAATATATATATGCAGGAAGTAAAGGCTTTTAGTATTTTCAGCTCAGACGTGAACCCCAGCAGATCCTGTTTTCTGTCTCAGCGTATTTTGAGTGAATGAACTGTGAAATATGAAAGGCTTTATGAACGGCACTCCATCCTGCTGCCAGGTTTGATCCTCCATCTATTTTAATTATTAGCGACGTTGGGCTCTCTCATCGAGCGTCACATTGAGTTAGAGAGTCTGATGAAGATGAGCTCATTTCTGACACGCGAGTAGAAAACACACACAGGCTGCGGTCAGACGCTATTAACACTCGTCATTAATCCTGAGAAACGGGCCGTCTGTGGCCATCGGGACGCGACACAACGCAGAGGCAGAGACTGTGTGGTCGAGCAGCAGGTCAAGGGTTCAGGACTGGAGCTCAGCGGGACACCCTTGATTAACGCACACACACACACACACACAAACACAAACACGAACAAGCAATTAATCCAGACTCAAAACACTGGAGCATATTCAGACACAGCGAAACACACAGCTTGATGAAAAGAGTGAATAAAATAAAATGAATTAAAATTATTTATTTATTTAAATGTGTCATTATTATTATTATTATTATTATTATTATTATTATTATTAAACAAACATCATTTTATTGTTAATATTATTATTAATAAATAAACATTATTATTATTATTATTATTATTATTATTAATAAATAAACATTACGTTTATTTAGTATTATTATTATTTTATGTATTTATTATTATTATTTTATGTATTTGATATGATATTTTATGTATTTATTATTATTATTATTATTAGATGTATTTTATATTACTATTATTTTCTGTATGTTATTATTATAGTTATCATTATTATTGTTAACAAAATAAACATTATTATTCATATTATTATTTTTTGTATTTATTATTATTATTAAAATAAACATTATTATTATTATTATTATTATTATTATTATTAGTTTATGTATTTATTATTGTATTATTATTATTATTTTATTGTTGTTGGTGTTATTATTATTATTATTATTATTGTTATTATTATTATTGATTATATAAATAATCAATGTTCGTTAATGTATTTACTAAGATGAACAATATTTACTAAAGCATTATTAAAATCCAAAGTCATCCTTAATAACTGAATACATACTGTAATAAATGCACTTTTATTGTTGGTTCATATTAATATTAATTCAATAACTAATTCATATTAATTGAGTAACTTACATTAACTAGCACAATTTTATTGTAAAGTGTTCAGGAAAATCTCTAAATAAAAATTACTACCAGTACTACTACTACTACTACTACTACTACTACTACTACTACTACTACTACTAATAATAATAATAATAATAATAATAATAATAACAATAATAATAATAATAGTTACGTTATATACATGTGAATTTATTTATTGTTTAATAAATATGTTTAATATTGTTGTTTATTATTATTAATTATTAATAATATTTATCAGTATAATTTATTACAAAGTGTCTTCATGGGCATGGGCACAGCATAACAGAAAAAAATTATGTTTTTTGTAGTTTGCTGTCTGGGCGACGCAGTGGCACAGTAGGTAGTGCTGTCGCCTCACAGCAAGAAGGTCTATGGGTCGCTGGTTTGAACCTCTTAAAGCTTTAAAAAACATCTCAATGGCAAATAAAAGCCTCATTTCTACTGTATCAGAAACCCAAACACAACTTCAGATTCAACACAACAGCACTACACAGCTGCTTCTAGTTTGACACCATAAGTTCACTCTATTACTGAAAAAAACACACACACACACACACACAGCAGAAGTTACACCGCGTTTAACAACTCATAAACACCCATTCAGAACCCTCGGCTTGTTAAAACACTCAACTAAATCAAACTAAAAGTAAAGTTCACAGCAACGTGTCTGGATCGCACATGTTTTATGGCTCTTTCAGAAGTAAAAGCTGGACTGCGAGCTCCAGGGAGTCTGACACAAACTCAAGGCCAGCCGAATTCCTCCAAACGTTATAAAACGTCTAGACTGTCAGGCCAAAACGAGCATAAAAATCCCCCGTTCGCCAAACGCTGGGCTTCTCCGCTGCCAAGAGCCGCTGTTTATTTGAGTTGGCCGAGCGAATCTGCGCCATCAGCCTGTGAAAAACAAACGTGATCCACACACACAGCACAAAAACACACTGCATACACTCGCTTAACACACAAAACTGGCACCGGATCAAAAATCGAAACATAAAGGCATTATGGAGAATCAGAGCGGATTCATGAGCCCATAAAATACTATAGTAATTCATAGTGCAGTACAGTACTTGAATTGATCTGATGTGGTAATTCTATAGATGCTATAATGATACAAGAACTAATATAAACAAAGTTTGTTATACTACAATTCACCAGTTTACTGTAGAAATAACTAAAGTATACTATTTATTACAGCCTATCAGCTCACTATAGTAAATAGTGAGGCACCGTGCCACCCCGTGTCAGATTCTAGGCTTGTAATTGAAGTAAATACATTTTGAAATATTCCATGTTACACATATTTTGACTGTTTCTGAACTTGATAAGTTTATAAAAATTCAATTGAATTAAATAAAAAGTATTTGTAAGTAAAACAATATTAAAAATATTCTTCTCCTAATTTTTAAGAAAATTAGTTATATTAATAATGTAATATAATAACGAATAAAATAAATGAATATTTTTCTTCCATATTTTATTTAAAGAATGTGCATCAGATTATAATCATAGTAATAAATAAAACAAAACAAAACAAATAATCATAGTTTATTAAAAACTTCCCAGATTGTTTGGAGAAAATGTGTCAGATTTCTGTTTGAAATCAAATCAAATTTAATAAAAAAATTAAATTACACAAACGTATGTGGCAAATTAAAGTCTTGTAAACTAATAAAATAAAAAATACTATTCTACATATTTTACTAGGAATGTTCTAAAATAAAATAAAATAAAATAAAAGTATGGGGCAAATTTCAGGGTTTGTAAATTAATAAAATACTGTATCCTTCTCATACAGTAGAAGAATACTGTATTCTTTTTACAAACATGAGTTATACTAGGAATGTAATAAAATAAAGAATAAAACTAAATAAATAAATGCTTTTTCCATATTTTCAGAGTGTGTGTCAGACTCTAAACATATTAATAAAAAAAAGAAATAAAAAGAAAAAAACGAATTGTTTGGAGAAAATGTGTCAGTTTTATGCTTAAAATTATTTTTCAAATAAATAAATAAATAAATAAACACATAAATAAATAAATAAATAAATAAATAAATAAATAAATAAATACATAAATAAATGAATAAATGAATGAATAAATAAATAAAATAAATAAAATAAAATAAAAGTATGAGGCACATTTCTGGCTAATAAAATAATCAAATAATCTTACATATATTTACAAAAATGTGTAAAAAGAAAACTTTCTTCCATATGTATTAAAGAATGTGTGTCAGACTCTAAGCATATTAATATTAATTTATAAAAAATATCAACCAAAGTTTGAAAAAAAAGTTCCATAATGCTTGGAGAAAATGTGTCAGATTCGTTGCTTGAAATTAAATTAGTGATAATAATTAAATTAAAATAAAATAAAAGTATGTGGCAGATTCCAGGCCTAAAAAATAATAAATATTCTTCTCACATATTTTTACAACATGGGTTATACTAGGAATGTAATAAAATAAAGAATAAAACTAAACTAAATAAATAAATAA